CCTGCGCGCCTACCCGCGGGTGAACAGTGCGCGCTCCGGCCCTCAGCGGGGACTGGGACGTCAGGTCCCCGGCCCCGCCGCTCCCCACGGTGAGTCCCCCCTTCCCCCGGCCCGCTCGGCGCGCAGCCCCCGCCCCGGGCGGTCTCCCCTGGCCACCGCCCCCTCGTGTCCCCTGGACACGTGCACACGCAGGTGCAGCCCTCACTGCACTGGCCACCGGTCGGCAAACACCCTGGCCTAGCCCCCCGCGACCCGCGGCCGCCGGGAGGGGACGGGGAGGAGCTGGCCCCCGGGCACACAACCCAGCCCTCGGTGGCCCAACCCCCCATTCACGGAGCCGCGGCCGTGACTCGCTGCCCAGTGACGTGGGGCGGCCCAACTTTACGTAACCCGCCTGGCGCCCCACGGGTATCGACACGGGGTACATACACCTGGGGCGCAGAGTCCCAGGCTTGGGGGGTTTTTCCGGTCATGGTGCCCCCCGGAAGAGCGCTGTGGCTGCAGCCCACCCCCACCGTGCCCGTCTCTGTAACTTAGTTACCCAGTGTGTGTGGACGCGGCCTGTCCGCTGACCCAGCCCCCTTGTGACCAAGGGCTTACCCTTGAGGGAAAGCACTGGGGAGCTTGGCAGGGTCAGGGGTCAGAGGCCAGGGCTCAGGTTGGGGCTGGGGGCTCAGAGGGCAAGGTCAGGTAGGGATCAAGCTGGGCTCCCGGTGGGTTGGGGATCCCCCCACTTCTGGAATGAGCCCAAAATGGGAGGGACGAAATCTGGGTTGTAGGCCTGGCTGTACCATGACCTGCTGACTGACCTTGGGCAAGCTTGCCCCTTGCTGGAAAATGGGATGACAGGACCTGCTTCATCTAGTAGTTGGGAAGATCAAGAGAAGTAGCAGGCCTGGAGGGGATTTGCTGTGAAGAGTTGTGCTCACGTTTCTGGGTTGCTGGAAGCTAGGGTTGCTGATATCCAGCAAACATCATCCACCCCATCTCACCCTGCTGGGCCTCACAGCGTGCATTCCTCCCATCCCCTTTCTTACAGATGAGGAAGTTGAGGCTCAGAGAAGGAAAGTGGTAACACTCACGTCCTGTGATCGCCTGTGATCTCCTGTGATCGCAGTCCAGGAACCAGGTAGGTCTGGAACTCTGACCCTGCCTGGCATGGATGGGGCGGGAGGAGGCTCTAGGGGCCCCTATCTGTGGTCAGGGGTCAGAGGGATAGGGTCATGGTTAGGAGGGGCTTGGCCCTGCTGAAGATGTGGATTACAATATTTTACCACTACTCCCCCCCCCCCCCCCCCCGGTCTTTTCTGTTTGGGGTTGGAAGTACCTAGTCGGCCAGGTCACCGGGTCCCTGGGCTGGAGGAAGGGGGGAGGTCGGTTTTCAGGGTGGCCTTGAGTGTGGGTGGGGCTGTGGAGGTAGGGGGCAGGGAAGGGCACCTCTAGCAGAGGTGCCAGAGAACAAGACACAAAAAGGTTGGGAGATCAGGTGCAGCTCGATCAAGGATGTGGGAGGTGGTTCAGGGCCTAGGAGAGAAGGGAGCTGTGGAGAGCAGCTGGAGCTCCCTGGCGGGTGGGCTGTGGGAGCCTCACCGCGATCTCCTCCCCGCAGGTGGCCAGCCGCCAGGCCCATGCCGTGAGGCCCGGAGGTGCCCCGCCGCCACCAGCATGCCTTGGGATGCAAGGCGGCCCGGGGGCGGCGCGGACGGCGGGCCCGAGGGCGCGGGCGCGGCGCGCTCCCAGGCGCAGAAGCAGTGTCGCAAGTCGTCGTTCGCCTTCTACCAGGCCGTTCGCGACCTGCTGCCCGTGTGGCTGCTCGAGGACATGCGCGCCAGCGAGGCCTTCCACTGGGACGAGCGCGGCCGCGCCGCCGCCTACTCGCCCTCCGAGGCGCTGCTCTACGCGCTCGTGCACGACCACCAGGCGTACGCGCACTACCTGCTGGCCACGTTCCC